GTCGGGCTGGTCCGCAGCCCGGAGCGAGCCCCCCGAGAGGGGCGAGGGTGGGGTGCAGGCTGAGCGGGGAGCCCCCGGGCACCCCCGTCCCTTTCTGCAGGTATAGTTAGCTGGTTGTTGCCGGTGCTTTGTGGGCTGGAAGTTTTCCTAGGGTTTGGAGATGGGGTGTGCGGTAGGGGTCTCAGCTGTGAGGGGGCTCTGCAAGGCCAAATTCCTCCCCGCTATCAGGAGCCTGGGGCGGGGGCATGAGCAGGGTCGAGGCTGGGGCTGGTGAGGGTAGCAGCAGGCACAGGAGTGGGAAGAGAGACTTTTCCCACACTAGACATTAGCTAGATTTCTGCATCAGCTGTAGTATAGTGCCTGGGGTTTGCCTGTCTGAAGTTATTTTCCCTCTCAAATGTGATGTTACTTACCTTTCATTCATGCTCATCCCAAATACACATCGATTACAGCGGGGATGTAGGATTAGAGAGACAACAGGGAGATTCATTTAGCACGGTCTGTGTCTCTGAGCTGATTCCTCATGTCTTGCCAAACAAATATCAATGAAATAATGGAGGAAATGCACAGGATGAGGTTTTGTCCTCATTTCTAGGGGCAGGAATCAGCAAGGACTTCAAAATGAGCATAGAGGTGTGAGTGAGAGGGTCCTCATAGAGGCTGCGGGGAAGGCCCGGCTCCCAGCGGAGCAGTGGCAAGGAGGGGAAAGTGGCCCAGTTCTACCAAACTGGACCCAGCAGCCTTGTAGGTATTTATATCCCTTCTTTCTGTGGTATTTCTATCCTTCGCGGTCTTCACAATTTGTCCTCCCTCCCTCTGCCTGCGATGCGGGACACTGCCCTCGCTTTACAGGTGCAGCACTAGTACTCAGCCAGCCTCATGTCTCCTCCTCCCAGCTGGCTGGATGCACATCAGCCAAAAAGTCACGAGTCTCTGCTGCACAGTCCTGCCAATTAGGGTGCATTTAGCAGGCTCAGCGCCGTGCTGACATAGCCACATAGCTTTGGGACCCAAGTTGGCTTGCGCCTGCCTGGTTTGGGAAGGGGGAGTACGACTGTCGGACGGTATAGACCCGTCCTAGGTGATGTAAAGCTGCACAGAAAGACTCAGCAGAGCGGAGCTCTGACCCCAGGTCTCCAGAGGAAACACGGTCAATTCTCAGACCGCTAAATAATCTCTCCAGAATAACAGAAGGGAAAAAAATGTGCACCATGAGGTCTGACAGAAGGTAGCATCTTTAAAATTAGCATTTTTTAATATATTGATCTTTTGTTCAGGAAAATCAGTAGGGGGAGAACTGGCAAGATGCTTGCTTGTCATATAGTCACAGCATATTGCGTCTTTTCAGTAAATCAGATGATTTTTAATATTCAAGTGTAACAGGAGAGAGCTAATAAAGGTGCGTAGTGTTAGCATTAAAACGGAGCTATAATCCAATAAAAATTTCTGTGCTCTTCAAAAAGAAGCTCAAACTTGCACTTGAAAAGTTCTAGTTTAGACACTTTTCTTACCACGACTTCCGGCACCTGATGATGCCTTATTGTTATCGAGATGTTATTTTTTGTCTCAGGCTCGGTGGTGGTTGCCTCGAAAGGCATGATGTGTTTGTGTTGCCGCTGTCTCGTACCCTGCGTGGGTGCCCTAGATCCTGGCAGTCTCAGTGAAGTCTCTCTGTCTCTCTCTCTCTTCTGCACCAGAGCTGGAATTTGACAGTCTCTGGTGGCCCAGTTCAGGGAGCTAAACCCGCAGGAAACTATTTCTGTTTTCTCTATTGCCCGTTTCTGGCCGGTTTGTTTCCCTGCACTGCCTCGCTGCCCAGCTGTGTGAGCACCAATGCATGGGCGTAGCACGGGAGGACAGGCAGCCTGACAAGGTGGTCCTAGAACTCATACATCCAAAAACTACAAAACTGATCACAAGAAGTCCTTCTTTTGAAGGCAAATGATTATATATACTCTCTATTGCAAGCAGCCAGTAAGTTATGTTTTGTATAAACAGAAATTCCAAATAGTTCCAGGTTGTATCAACTTAGACAAGTGTGGCTGGAAATTTTAAAGTCGTTTTTGTTCCTGTTGGATGCTGAGGTCTCACCACTGAGTGTTTCTAAATTCTGTCCATGCGTTTAATGACACCAAGGATGTTTATTGGCATAGTTCACTCTGAAATACTGTTTTGAATGTAGAGTTCAAAAATTTAGAACAGAAATGTGAAGAAAGGTGACCAATGGTTCTCGTGCTACAGCTTGTTTCTCAGCCTGTTCACCACTCATCATTTCAGCACCTGCTGAAATGACATTTCATCCTTTTGCAAATATTTAACAGGAAGAAGTATTTGGGGAAAGTGTAAAGTGCCTCAAGTATATGTAATCAAGAAATGTGTTAGGAATAATACAAAAACAATGCTCCAAAATAATAGAAACCACTGAAAGGAGGGGCGTCCTAACGCTACCAACGCCATGCTTAAATTCTGTCATGCCTAAAAATCGTAGTAGGTCTGGTACTTTATAAATAGATGGCTCAGCAGAAGTCCAGGGGTCTGAACCTAAGTCCAAGGGTTTTTAAATAATTTCCTTATAGTTCTAACAATGAAGAAAGAATATTTTTGTACATAGAGAGCATTTTAAGTAGGAACTGCTGTACAATGAGAAAGCCTGAAAAAGGAATGACCTCGTCATTTGAATGGAAGTGGTTACGCTGAGAAAATCCGCAGATCCTTATACATTACAACATATGTTGTGCAGTGATTCAGTGAAGATACTGTAACCCTCTTTTTTCCAGAGATGAGAAAAAATTAAATAGAGAGTGACTCAGAAAAAAAAAATCTATGATTCACAGTGCTGTAAATGGGAAGGGGAAAAAAAAAAAAAAGTCCTGACCACTCAAGCTGTGTTTCATAGGATAGCAATGTAATTTTTCTGTGTATTTTTGAACTTCCAAGTGTCTCATTAGCCTCCACATTTTGGTAGATACCTGAGCACAAATCCTTTCCTTCAGGCTCCTTTGACTTGCATCCTTCTCATTGTTTCAATGAATCATCATCTACCATTACTGTGTTAAGTAAGCTGGGCCAATAGTAACAAAGACAGAGACCATAAAGATGTAGCTATGGGTCCCTGATACTTCTTTTTGTATTTCAAGAGATGGCACCATTCCTTTTATGTCCACTCTGGGACCCATTCTCTGTCATGCTGGGGAATTTTACATCTTTACAATGAGGCGCAAAACTGATGTACTGACCCTTAATAGTTGCTGGGTACTGACTGCAAGCACGACGTTATTATCCCACTGGCTAAATTCCATTCTAGCAACCCAATATGCTTATTATTCCACATGACTAAGGCAATTCATACGTCTTGTTCTAAATCTTGATGACCATAAAATTGCCATGTATTGCTGCAGATGACCAATACTTAACTGCCAGCTTGGTTTAATTCCAGTAAGACGTGAAGTCATTGCTTTATTTGTTAGGCAGCTACTCAGTCCCTTTGGAAGTTTTCTGTGTGGAAAATGCGGTGTTAGACCTGATGTTATCTGCATATCAAGGTGCTAATACGGGATTAAAATTACATGGAAGTTCTTACTTTTGCAGGTCATTCATACAGCCAACTTGGAAGAGAGTCAACAGATAAGGTGACACGTACTGTCCTTTGGGTACTCTAGGCAGAACTAAGATGTGTGATCAGGCATTGAAGTCTATGCTTGTACTATTAAATAAAGTGGGGCCAAGGACGGTTTTCTGGTCCTGCGGCCAGGTGGCAAAGACCGTGAGGTCCATACTACATTTAGCGCTTGTCCCGGCTATCCCATGGCGGGGTCTAAGACATTTTTACTATCACTGGTTTTCTTTTTTTCTAGTTCAAAACGCTTGAAACAAACGTTTGAGGGTTGTGCTGCAACATGTTAGGAGTGGTGCCTTCACAGCCAAGGAACTGTGTCATGTGCCTTGGGGTACCTAGGTGTGCCTGAGGGCAGTGCCTGGGGCTGCAGCGGCAGGTACCTGCATGTGGCAAAGGGAAATAACATAAATTTCCATGTTATTTTCCAGTGCTGTGCTACAAATCGTACCCAGGAGCTGTCTGGGAAGGTGTTTATCAGTAAGTGGAAGAAAATGCCAGAGAATGCTAATGGTTAAGCAGGATGGACAACCGGGGGCCCATTGCCCAGGGCTGCTCTGTGGTTCTGTTTCAGTGGAGTTCTTTAGGGCGTGGGATGCAGCGTCCTCGGCCACTCGTACGCCTGATGCTGTCGGGACACTCAAAAGTGGGCAAGTTTGGTCAGAACAGAGAGGAAAGAAGGGGAACTGTAATAGCATGGTAAGGACATCTGCCAGGTAGCTTCTCTCAGGGGTTTTATCTGCTTTATGATGTCTGTAGTGCTCCAACAAATTAGAGATGTAGTGACAGAGCAAACCCAGCAATTTCTGTGTCTTATGAAAAGTCACAAACACCCAAGAAGTTATCGCATTTTACTCTTTCTTCCCAATGTCTTGTACTGGCAGAATCCCAGAGGGCATAAAATATTTTCCTGAAAGACTAGTTTGGTCCAATCACTTTCCTGCAATGCTGATACAAGTATGTAACTAGTGGTTAAGCTGTAAAGCTTCATGGGGATTTAAATTGTAATCAGGAAATATAGAAAAAAAAAAGGTGGAAAACATGTGATATGTTCCATTACAAGCTAATGGGAAACAGCATACATGGGAAAGGAAAAAGCTTCATTTAACTAGATAATGAGAGGCATGATGCAAAACAATTCAGAACCAATTTAAGATAGCCCAACCATTGATTATAACATCTATTTTGTACCATTCTCTAAGTATCATGTTGAAGACCTGCCTTTGTAAAGGAGTGGAAAAGCAAAGTAAAATGTGATTCACACTACATGGAAAATAATTTTAAGCCTATTTGCAATGTGCAATGAAAACAAGTCTTTGAAGAATTGGGGAATTTCCATATCAACAAGAAACTCTAATATTAATATAGGCACCTTTAGGTTTTTATAAGACACTATGTGCTAGTATTTCAACTACGTGACATTAATTATAACTTTACTGAAAAAGCAAGCCCATCAGAGGACAAAAAGCAGCTAGTGATATTAGGGAAAGCAGCATGGACTAGGACACAGTGCTGCAGTGTTTTGACTGCTCGTCTCATTTCACGTTAAGGAAAGCTGCGGACACGGCCGTTCCCTGCTCGTCCAGCAGCACACGGGAAAGCTGGTACTGCCGCTGGTGTCCAGGCAGAGGACATTCCCTCTGGACACACACACTGACGAGAGAGCAAGCGGCCCGGAGGAATGAGGCTGCCCAACCTGGAGCACCTACCAGGTGGCCTCCAGGAAAAGAGGCTACTGGGAATGGACCACTGGTCAGATTAAACGTCCTCATAGGCCACAGGCTGAGGACTACTCGTGTAGTGAAATTACTGCTTATCCTCAGAGGATTCTTCCTCTTGATGGATGCCCATATGCAAGACATTTTTCTTACCTGTTCTCTCACTGCTCTGCCTGCGAGGCTGTGTAGACTTGAAGTTCCTCGTTGGAAGGGTTGTGTTTGTTCCATTGGTAAGCACCCAGAGATCATCCTCATCCAGCCCCTCAAGGGTCAGTGCTCAGTACAGTTTTGAAGAGCTGTAGTATTCATTTTGACTGCTAAAAGTGAAATTGCTAGTTTTCAAAACCTGGGGCTTGGTGTTCCTGGAGGTGAGGCTAAGGAACGTTCAGTTTCATGGAAACATGTGAAACAGCTGTGTGTTTTTTACTGTTGTGTGCTGTTAAGGGACAAATAAAGTGAAGACTTCTGTGTTATGTAGCTTCTTACTCAGGAATAATGTGTCCATCACCTGTTTCTGCATTCTGGGAATCAGGCTGCAAAACCTTTTCTTCCAGAGTAGATTATTTGTATCCACCTGGAAGATATCTGGCATATTGTCCATGTTTACATTAGCAAGGTTGACACAGAGCTACTGTTTTGCCAGAATATAAGTGAGAAATGCAAGAGAAGGGAGAATTATCGGTCGGAAAAATGCGTATCATGCTTAATATAAATGAGAACTACAAGGAGCATACCATCATTATTAGATGCACTGCAGAGAATAAAATAAGGAAGGAAATGACTAGTGGATAACAGATATGATAGATCTGAGCATTTCCAAGTTTCAAGACAATCCCGAAACTAAGAGATGCTTAGTCTATCATTTACATCTCTCCTGGAAAATGACAAACATGAGAAAAGGGATCATTCTCTACATAATATGATGATTTAGTTTTTTTCTAAAGAACCTGTGTGTTATTTAATCAAAAAGGTGTCAGAAGCCATGAACTGGGCTAAAGGTTTCAACAGTTGCCAGAAAAATACCACAGAATACAAAACAAAGCATTTTTCTTTCTTTCTTCATCTGCGGCCTTCAGTGAGCTCGCCTAATACATGTGAATGTAACAGATGAAGAGAGAAGTTCTTTGTATCTCTGTGTATTAGGCTGGGTTAGGAGAGACCAAAGGTACAAGTGTATGGTACCTGTACTATTGATGCTCTGCCTGAGGGAAATGCAGTTTCTCATGATTCAAAGTTTAATTTCAAAATAATGGCACTTTCCCTATAATGTTTTGGTCAAGTTCAGAGGAATTTTGTGATCCATGAGAACTAAAATTCAAATATCCAGTGGACTACTCTGTAGTTGGGAATGAGCAAAAGAGGGCCTTAAAATCACATTTTTACACATTTTATTTAGTACGTTTAAATATCTTCTTTGTTGTAAAACTCTATCTGTATCAGTAGTTATACAGACACAGAAACACAACTCTACACACGTCCCTGTTCTGAGACTAAACAAAACCAAAATTATCACCAAAAATTGTCTTTGCAGCAAGGACCGTGGAGCAGGACACCCTGTGTTAAAACAGGGCAACAAAGCTGTGGTGGTGGGACTTATTTCAGTGTTGAGGAAAAGGGGTTAGAAATCAATCTGAGGGGAATCAAGAGGGCTAAAAGGCCTCCTGAATTCTGCTACTTTATGTTCCAGCCTTTAAACAAAATCTGGCGGTGTAGGAACTGCCAGGTAGGTCAGACCACTCACTGGTCTAGATAATCCATGAGCTGGTCTCCTTCGGGGCTAATGCCATGTGCTTCAGAAGAGGGTACAGAAGAACCCCACAGCTGTAGTGAAAGGTTTCCATGAGGAGCTGTTTCTTTCTGGACGAGGGATGGAATAGGGAGCCAAGCACTGCAGGCAGGTTTGAACGTTAAATTTGAAGATGCAAACTCCTGGAAAAGCATTTTAAACCCTATAAATAAAAGTATGTAAGAAAGAAAAAACCAGACACAGTCTTATCACTCAAGCTTTTGAGAGCAATTAGGGTAAAACAGAAGTCTTGACTACTAGTAATGTTTTAATATTGCTTTGCAGCTCTTCCATGCGTTGTGGGGGAGTGGAGTCATTGGAGCGGCTGTGCAGAACAATGTCAACCTGACCTGCGGATACGTAGGCGCTATGTACAACAGGAACCTAAAAATGGTGGGGAACCTTGTCCTGCTCTAGAAGAGAAGGCTGGCTGCCTGGAATACCTGACTTACCAGGGAGAGGACTGCGGCCATGAACATGGTATTCTCTCTTTGATTTATCTGTACATTGTGCCCATCAGGGCCTTCATAAATTTTACTGATGTCAATGAACAGAAAAAAAAGTATCTATCTGCAGCTAGCTGGTTAAAAATACAATTTAAAACCTTACTTTCTACTGTCACATTCCTCTTTATTCTATTCTTGTATTTTTTTCCTACTCAGGCTTTTCTTAATTTCTATTAAGTGAACAACTAAGCTGCATGCATTCCTTCAGTTTCTTGATTTAAGCCCCTCAGTAAGCATCAAATTATCTCTGTGCAAAGTTAGAACACAAATTCAGTACGAACAGGAAACAGAGTTCCTTGTAGGATTCCAGCACATCCTATTTCCTCACAGCCTAGATGGTATGCATTTCCAGATATATTTCTTCTGAATAAGGAGAGAGCTTTGCTGTAGCGAAAGGGGTTGAGGTCTGATGTTGCCAACATTTTATCACTTTTTCAATGAAGTCAGTCAGCATCACCATCCACAAGCTCCTGATTCATTCACCCACTGTTACAGTAATTGAAATATGACTCAGCTGTGTCTTGCTGCCTTACCGTAACTGTTTTCTTCCTCAGTCCCTGCTTTCATAACTACCTCTGAATATGGTAAAGAAAGAAAACGACGAGCAGCATCTTCTCTCTGGCCTTCAGACAAAGAAGCAGCTGGGTAACCTATTTATCATATGCATGTGGGTCATCTTGTTCAATAGAAAATAGCTGGCTACAAAGAAAAATGTAATTAAATTTGCAATAATTAAACAATAAGCTATAGCTTGTACTGTTTTTCTCTCTGCGGTTCATTTGCATGTTCTAGATGTTGTTTTCTATTACTTGCTAATTGTCCTGAATTAGACATTGGGGTCATGGCAAATCTGAGGATAGCTGCTCTTGAAAGCAAACAGTAAATAATGCTAAACCAAAGCAGAATGTATCCGTAAGTGTAAGTCTGAGAAATTAGATGTAGGTCTCTGAACAAACAAAATGGGCTGAATGTGATCGGTCTCAAGAGACCTTTATTCTAAATTAATTGACACAAGCAGTAAAAAATTTTGTTTAGTTACTGGTAGAGATGGTTATGAAGTTTAAATTAGGCTATTATTGGGTCTGTAATGCTCATAATGCTTTGCCCTATGCTACTTTCGCCAGAACAATAAAGCCCATCAGTATTTTTAAAGCCTCTTTTCCATTTTCTTTTAGCAGCACAGCAGAAAAAATATGGGTTACTGAGACCTGTTTTTCAACATAATTTAAGAATACAGAACACAACCAGAAAGTGAGATTATACATACAGCACTGGGGCATGGAATGAGAAATAGTTTGCACAATGTTTTTAAGAATCCATTAATTAGGTTAGGGTCAGAAACAGACTTACTAGCAATGATGATGTCTAACTTGTACTTCACAAATACCACCCGTATGATATGTAAGTACATTTAAAGTGTATACCTAGCATGTGCTTTATCTATCATAACTAATTTAGAACTTTTCCTTCTGAGCAGATATTGTGTGGAATTTAAAACAGAATCACTTTCACACCACTGTGCTTTGGAGAATCGGCCGTACGCTCGATGGATGCAGTACCTACGAGAAGGACATACTGTGTGTGTAGCTTGCCAGCCTCCAGCTATGAGTACTGACACGCATCGTTGTTCTGGAGATGGCCATAACGCAGATGGGTAAAGAAAGCCATTTTTCTGCTGTCTCTTCTGTTGCAAAACCCAGTACAAAAGTTAAGACTTCTCAAAGTCTCATTAAACACTGCATTTATTATACCTAAAAAGTTAAACGGCTCATACCACTTGTAGAGCTCAAAAGATTTACCCGTTCAGCTCTCACAGAAATTGCTTTTAAAACCTAGTTACAATTGGGAAATAATTTCAGTATAAGAGTTCAGTGCTTTGAATGCTTTATTGACTATTGTGAAGGGATGATGCAACTTCTGTGCAAGACGTCTTTTTACAGCTACGGGCACTTTTACTTAAAAACGTTATTTTCTGCCATAATCCAAATCTGATTTCAGGTTTAACACTGGTGGATCAGTACTTCTCTCAAACCTATACACCTGGATTCTAGAACAGTAATTTTGAAAGTAGACATTTAATATTTGGAATGGATTTTTATTTGATCTATACATTTATTAATATGCATTCCACTTAATACCTGTACAACCAGCTACTCAATCCACCATCCTGTATACTATACTTAGGAATATAGTGCCTGCTCCAGAAAGCATTTTAAGAGCTAGATGAGCTAATTAAAGTCTTACATTATTAAGCAAATCTAATCTTCTGACATGTTATACAACACAACCTAGCGACATGAAATATACAGTTTTCAGTGTTTTAATTCCTCATTTACTGTCACATTTCAGAGGTAAAATCTTACACTGGGAAGCAGTTGGCAACTCTCAGTGCCAAGGAACCTGGAAGAAGATTCGGCAACTGGAGCACTGTTCATGTCCCCTTGTGCATAGCTTTATTTTTACATAAAAGTTTAAAAGACCTTTAAAACAGCAACAACAAAAAGATTAAGAAAATTGACATCAATGCCAAGAAACCTACATCTTTCTGCTGCATTTTCTGGAGCCTAAACGAACTTTAAAGGAGTCAGAACTTTGGAAGAAGCATTTTGGGAAACTCTCTCTGCTTTAATACAAAACGCTAAGACTGATCTTTGTATTAGAACACTAGAAGCATGTTTCCATGTTTCTCTTTTGTAATTAAAGAGCTAATGTTTCTAACTGTAGTAGCCGCTTTTCCTAAAGCTCTCGTTCTTTACTGGCCCCAGTTCTGTCTACAGGCACTGCTCCTACTCACTGGTGAGCCAGCCAAACATTCTCAAGTCTGAGAATAGTTATGTCGTCATTAAGTAGCAAGGGTGAATAAAAATGAAAGTTTGAGAGCTAGAACTGGATTTCAGTTTAAATCCTTTGTTCCTTCCCAATATCATCTAGACAGTTGTTTATACTACAAGTGGTCAGTATTCTTCCTCTACATAGCAGTTTTAATGTTCAGCCACCTTCATAAAGACATATGACTAGTCAGCATTGTTAAAGAAGTAGTCTTGTTCAGAACCTCATGTCACTAATACACAGTGTGAACTTTATGGGAGACGAACCTAAACAAGACTTCGTGACTAAAGGTTTGGCTAACATGAAAAAAAAATACTTATTACTAGTTAAAACTGCTCATGTACAATGATTAACACAGAAACCTGCAATATTAGAGCACTGGCAAGACTGCTATGCAGGTAGCTCAAATCCTTGTTTTGTTACCTATTACTTACCTTGAATTATTGTTACAGCTTTAAAGAGGCTGCATACTGCACTTTCTCACTTGTCAGATACCTGCTATGACTTTTTGAATTGTTGGCTTACAGCTGCTCTAGCATTCCTTGCTGAAGGACAAAGCCTGTATTTTATCAAGATCCTGAAATTCACAATGTTTGCTAAAAAGAAATTATGCCTTAAGGTTGAGAAAATTTACTATTAAGACATGCAGCATCTCTGTGGAACCTAAAGACTACTGCTTGCTGCTGTTTCTAGCAGCTGCAAGAAGAAACCGTAGTGTCTGGTGGCAAGAATGAGGAAGGTGATCTGGCTGAGGTCCTGTCCTCAATAACAGTGTGAAACAAACCTTTGTAACCGTACTTTACCATTTTATCTTAATGGAAGCAGGTCTCCAAAACAGAAAGCAGAGAGATTATCTTATTACTTCCTGAACATTTCAGCCTTCAAGAATATATCTCCTCCTTTTTAGCCAGCAAAAGTATGTCAGAGAGGTTTATTTTATTATGATCAGTTTGGACAGATGCTTTTCCTTTTAAGGTTCTTGTAAAATAAAAACCTTATCCAAGGACAAAGGTACAGAAAACATCAGAATTGAAGAGATTTCACTTTTAAAATAATGCTGTGATATGTTAGTTCAGGTCACTAGATTCACACCAGTATGACAGTAGAAAGTATGGGTTTTCTGAGGTTGTGGAGCTGTTTTCCACACAATCTGAATCAAGAGAGACAGCGTAGTACCATCATCCGTTACAGTCTCTCATGAGCAGGACATTTACAGTGACCGGCTGACACCTTGATAGTTAGTTACCCGCATCAGAGTGTATCTTTGCTTGCTATCGCTGCAGACAGGGACAGTGGAGAGCATAGGTGAAACATGTCTCATGAGTTGTGCTATCAGTGTCAGTATAGACTTGTTACTTTGGCCATTCGTTTTTGAGCTTTCCCTTTCCTGCTGGTCTAGAAGAAGCCACTTCTCAAGACAAGGTAGATGGCACAAGATAATCTAGAGATGTTAAGAGCTAGTATCATACTGTTACTTTCCATATTTTCCATCTCTTCTGTGAAATAAAAAGTGCTATTATGCCAATACACATAAGTTCAAAATAGTCTTCCACCTAGGACTTAAGCTTAATTCTTTAAAAAAAAAAAAAAGCAGCACCTTTACTACTTATAAATATAAAATTGCATGGAGTATCACATTTTTAACTGCAAAAAAGGGAATCAGTTTGTAAAATTAGCAATACCAATACATATATATTTTTTGGTATAACTTACTGACAGAGATGACAAGTCTGACCAAATTTCAAAGTGAAGCAAATCAGATTAGAATGGGATGTGTAGCAGGAAGTAAAATGATAACAAACTCAATCTGACTAGAGATACAACCCTTTGAAAATACAAAACACTTGACGCTGTATTAGCTTTTATCAAGCTAAACATGTTGCCAATCATTTAATACCCCTATGTACATAATTGACCTTTCTTAAATCACTGCAAGCATTTTCACATTTCAGAAATTAGATCATCTATTGCATGTAGATAAAAGACCAGGCTTTACGTTTAAGTCACCATTACCTGAGCAAGTGAGCTTACATGAACATTTTATACCTAATTACTATTCTGTTTCATGTTTTAGGACAGCAACACTGCTGAACACTCTGAGACTAAAATAAGTTATTATTCTGAAAAGCTAGACTAGGTCCTAGGGAAAGGTCAAGAAGAATTGATTCCTGTAGTCCAAATTAGCCTTGTTCGATCCTGCACAGTGTTCTCCAGCGGTCTTTCAACATGACACTAGTTCGATTGTTGAAGTCACCATGGACCAAAATTTTAGCCCAGTTACCCACTCCAAACTCCCTTATTCCTGATTTCAGTTCCAAGTCTTCCTTGTAAGTCCATCGCTAGGGGAAGAACAGGGAAAAATACCAGATATATGAACAGAGAATTCATTAATTCTAATTAATGTAAGAGCTAAGCTTATAGAAAATATAAAAGCAAGTTTTTATACAGCTTTCTAGTTATTACAGAGTACAGATGTCTGAGGGTCAGTAGGGTCATTTTGATTTCTTTTGAGCACCATTAACTTGACACTAAATACAACAACAAAGGTTACCAAGTCAAGTGTTACAACACAGTAGCAGACATCACCTGGAACGAGTACCACATGCTTCAAGTTACAGGTGGAAAAGAGAAGAAAAAAGACATTGGGCAAAGTTTTGCTTCATTCAAAACATGCTTTCCAAAATTGTACTTTATTAGCTAATTGAGCCAAGACAAACCTTGACTGATGCTAGTACGCCTCACAAAAGAGAAAGCATTTTGTGACACATTAACCTAGGGACTGAGAATCAAGACACCATTTACCAACAACAAAGGAATTTCAGTGTGCTTAGAAAAAACAAATTCCATTATTTAGAATGCTGATAGAAGCAAAATGATACATACTGCATTTGAAAGTGAGATCAGTCATATCCTCAGGTAACAGCTATGCATTTGCTTTTGGCCATTTGTTGAGCCCGCTACTTAAGTCTCACTGTCATGACCTACAAGCTTTTTAATCTTTAGGGGTTGACATTTCTCTCATGAAAGGGGAGAAAATTACTTGCAGTTATACATCTGTAAGCAGCCCCTTCCAGTGAAGTTCTCCAGTGTACCAGTTCTTCCTTAGTTGCTTCTCGATACAAATCTCTCAATAAAAACAATTTTAAGACTGCATAGGGAGTGAAAGAAAACTGAATTTTTTAAAAACCAAATACTTGATTTTTAAAAACTTACCTTTACAGTAAAGTGTGAGGGAGAACTGAGTATCAACTTTTTTTTATTGTATATTTTATTGTAGCATATATATAACAAAAGTTTACAGATCCTATCATGCCTATTTTTAACCACTGCATTTTTAATATAGATATATTACATAGTCATTTTTTCGCTCGAATAGCAATTAGGAACTTTAATATGAAATTATTTTAGAACAACTTATTCTGCTAGAATCTGATCCTCCGCAAATGTCTTCAAATCCTTGCTTGCTTAATACACAACTAATTATACTGATGTATCATCAGCACACCTCCTTAGGCAAACTGAATTGCATATCATCTATGCAAATACAGGACAGGGTCTCCAGTTGAAAAAAATGTGTAGGAAAACTGTTTCTAAAAAGTAAGTACCAATTTCTATTTCAAACTGCAGTTTGATAGCATGTTCTTTCTAAATTTATTCCCCAAAATCTGAAATGTGAAGACTTAACTTACAGAAAAAATGTAAACTTAAAAATGCTAATGAGATTGAGATGTACAGAGAATTGTATTGTGTAGCTGTTCCATTTAATTTATCTGTGATCACTTCTGCTTCTTGCACTGGAGATGTCCTGCTGCTCCTGGTGGTGTCATGGACCACAGTAAGTTATGAAAGGAGATGAACGGTCAATTTTCACTGGTCTCATGCTGGCATTTCTGTGAGCACCAGCAGATTCCACATTCAAAATCATTAGTTACTGGACTTTTGCAAAATCTGCATGTGTTTATGTGCATGTCATAAGCAAATGACTGCTGAAAAGCCAACCAAGAAGCTCTCTTATTTCTGCATTTAACTGTTGCCTGTGCTTTACTTATTTTGGAGTTGCTCTGAAATAGCAAATAAGTCAGCGCTTTTGTTCATAAGAGCACTATGAAATTTACATAGGCAAGCGATCAAAAGCTGCAATTACTTACTCATGTTCAGTGTGTGAAAGCAAAATAGTTAATGTCTCATAGATCTTTCCAGGCCTCAGTAGCTAAGAAGCATTTGCAGCTAATGGTCTTGCCAGTCAGAATGATTTAATTGACAAAGGAGTGAACTATTTGTAAAAGGATGTACTGTCTAGAGCCTCCTTGTCTGATGAATTTAATTCGCTGTTGTTATGTACCATATGCTGCTTATCTGACACAGTTTTGGTGAAAAACAGGTTGTAAAAGTTATGGGAACTCTGTAGCTGCCCCAGCTACTCTGTAGCTGGGCAGAGTTCACATCAGCAGGGGCTGTTGCTCTGCTGCTTCCCGTCCTCTCCCCTAGCCATAGCAATAAACCGCTTCAGCTCTGACCTGATCTAAATTGCAATTTGGGTTATTTCCATGACAGCATCTGGTGCTGTGAATGGGATTTACATGTCCTGCTTCACTCGGGAGGACCGCGGGCTCCTCCCTGCCACTGCTTGGAAAGGTACAGGACCTTTTGAAATCCCTGCTGGGGCTTCAGCTGAGGGTCATCTGGAGGCTCCTGTGGCATGCAGGGGCTGCTGAATCCCAGCTTTTAATACAGGTCAGTCCAGTGCCCCACTGCCAGCTAAAAGAGGGAAAGGTAATTGTAATTCTGGTCTGGTCAAGGTAAGTCTGGTAAAGGTACTTCTGGTATCTGGTAAAATTTAGGAGAGGTTGGTCGGGCAAGTCTGGGTTGCTTTCAGCTATTAACATGGTATGAGCATGGAATGAACAAGCTGAGTTCAAGACAGGGCTGAAGCCACGTGCAGCCGCCCCGGCGGAGATCGGCATTAGCTTGGCTGCAAGGGCAAGGGGTGGAGGATTGCCAGTTATCCCCTCTCCTTCCCTGTCTCCAGCTCCAATACAAGCTTCCTTGGGACCTGATGTTAACAGTCCCAACCAGTGCAGTAAGCTCAGGATAGATGTTGTGACAAGGAGGAGCCCTTGTATGTCTTGTAGCTTTTCCTTTGAGTCTCTAGTTATCGTCAGGCTGGAGGGTCAGCCTGGCAGCAGTGACTGCAAGCTGACACCCAGGCGGCACAGGCCCCCTCTGCCTTTTCTTCATCTCCTTGAATGAGTGAAAAGCTTGAAAGGGAGACATCTTGCAAGTACACACTGGAGTACAACCAGCACAGAGTGCCTATGGGATGAGTGTGTGACTGTGTTTGGTGCATCCGGCTGCACCAGCCGGCAAGTAAAGGATCCGTGAAGCGGGTGCGAGGGCCAGGATGCAGGCAGGGTTACCAGGCGTGCAGAGGGGCTGTGCCCATACTTGGGCATCTGCAAACATTCACATGCCCATGAACCTAGAGAGGCATGTGTGTGCTTTCACCAGTGAACTTACACCTCTACCAGAGAAGAGGAGGGGACTTGGCTGCCTGTGTTTATGTCTTACATGGGTACCATGTGTGGGTGCTGTTGAGGGCAGCACCTTGTCCAAGCCAGTCTGTATGACCAGCCATGTCAGTGTCCTCTGTGTGTGTGTCCCTGGGCTGTGTGCTCAGCTGCGCTACCGGGTGAACCTGCAAATGGAAAAGCGGCAGCTGCACCCCCCAGCCTGGGCAGAGGCCCCGGGGCCCCGGGCTGGGCTCCAGCAGCCGGGCAGGAAAGGGAAATGCAGCTGCAAAGGAATAACCTCAGCTTACAGAAATTTAAACTTGATAAAGCCAACTAGTACAACTGAGTAGTACAGAAGAAATCTGTGAATTACAGGGGAACAAACATTACTTAACTCTGCAAATAATGTACCCAGTGGAAATATAAATCTCAGGGCTGCTGTGACGTAGACAAATGCATACCATCCTGCTTGTGCACAAGGGGTGGCTGGCAGGACAATCCAGGGCCAGCCAGTATGATTGTCAGCGGCACAAAAGGTCCATGTGTCCAAGGATGCTCAGATAAATCCCTCATCCACAGAGGTGTGGGGGTTTTTTTGGTTTTTTTTTTTGGTTTGGTTTTTTTTAAAACTTTCTCCTCTCCTAATGAACCCTTCTGGGGATCCTTAAAAGATTCTGCCCTTAAGGGCAACAACAATTCAGGCACCAGGGATGGGCCAGGTGACAATTTTAAGTGCCAGTCTGCATGGTTCCCCCCTTCTCTTGAATTTAAGCTGCTAAAAGTGGCAACAGCACTCCGAGGTGAAAGGCTGGGGGGGTGTGTGTCTCTTGGGGGGAAGGAGCTTAGATAACATTCAGCCTGATCAAAATTGTATTCTGGTTATTCTGCAACAAGCAAAAATTCAGCATCTACACAGAGTGCAAGCTGAGGTATGCTGAAAGTTGGACTTATTCCAGTTTAATGCAACTATCAGTGCCTCTTCAAGAAACTATGATCACTGATAAACCTCACCAACCAGTGAAAGAATTGAGTGGTAGTAGTTCAGCTGTGTTTCTAAACAGTTAGAAACCTAAAACTTCTCTATAGTCGTCTACCCTTTATCAAAAATACTTTCTTTTTCCAATACTTCCTGTTCCACAGATCTTTTGCAACATTAGCAGTGAATGGTGGGGGGTTTTTTTTGGTTTTTTTTTTTTTTTTTTTTTTTACACTATTATTAAAAGGCCAGAGATTCCATTGGAACCATCTAGTTCATATCATTTCAGAGCATGCCAGAAACTTTCCTAAATAAAATCTTTATTCAAGCAGCACAGTTATGCTTGACCTACAGCATCAGATAATTCAAATACTTCCAGCAACAGAGACAATCACAACCCTTATTACTTGTTGTAATGATTAATTACATTTGTTGTTAAAAGGGTTGGTGTTTTGCTTGTTTTGCTTTTAAATTGCTTACATTGAGCTTTTTTAAAAATAAATTTCTTCAGTTTAACATATAAACAAGGAGCCTGCCTTACAGGTAAACCAGAGACTGACTAATTTTTTCTTTTCACTGAGGAACTATATAAAGCCTCCCCACACACACACTAACAAACTGCCTGTGCCCTCTGGGATGGCAGTTATGTAGACGCTAGCATTGCACTGTTACAGACTAGCAAGACTGGTTGAGAGACTGGACATAATGCAGCACTATGCTTGAGCTAACATAATCACAGTGCCTACTCCAGAGCAATGTGACATTTGGCTAGCTCAGAGTGCTGGCAGAGCAAGCCTGAGTTTGCCAGACAGACTGTGTAGTCATACCCTCACATATCTAATGATCTGGTTATTCCTTAGAGTCAGTTCTGCTCTAGTAACCTGTCTTCCTTTGGTTATGTGTTCTGAGACTCTGATTTTCTTTTTTTTTCCCCCCTCAGAGTTTAAATATATGGATTTTTTTTTCATACAGGTCTGACTGAATTCTGAAAACCCAGATTTTTCAGACACATTCTTTAATTTAAGCAAACTGTCAGTCAGATTTTAGACAACTCGCAGGACTTGCCATACACATACAGGATATAAAGCTGAGTACAAACAGTTCCCTAAAATCTGTGACACTTGCATCCCCTAATTTAGGAATGAGAAAATAAAGTCACTTCCTTTCAATAGCACTGCAGACTGTTGTATGCAGCTAACTGAAAACACAGCAATGAAAAGCTGAAAATGGGCACTGAACCATTGCAATGAAATGCCATTTACAAAACAAGAGCAAACAATGCCAACATTGAAAGAGGGACTACATGGAAAAGGAAGTTCTAGAAGTCAACAGCTCTGACATTCACTGCATTCTTTCATGCATGCAGACAATTTTATAACCCAGATAATTAAGCAGATTTATTGTTTAAAAGGCCAATATCATTGCTTTCTATACAATATTTATGAGAGGTCTCACTGGCAAGGAGTATGGCATAAATTTCAGGCAGACAGCAAATGCCTACTTTTCTAAGTGTTTAAAGAAACATAGTTCTGAATTTTAATTTCTTGCAAGTTTTTATAAAATTTTCAGTGAGTTCTTTGCTTTGCTACTGTCAGATGTAGTTTTCTATAAATTTAGTCTTTACATTTCAATTAAGGTTGAACTATAACAACAGAATTAAGCACGACATCTATTTTTTTCTAGTGAGATCTGTGCACAAGACCTAGACCAGGATACAGTGTTTGTAGCTGACCCCGTAACAGACTACCTCAAGATAAAAACAGGTGAATATAAAGCTGTCATTAGCTCTGTGTCAGTTGTGGTCCCATTAGATTAAATCTTGATGTTGAAAACAAGACTGATGGAAGCGTGCATGCTTACCAGCAACTGGCTAACAAGGTGTGGTGGTACAATAAAGTAACATACAAATCCAGTAAGCACTGGTATTTTGGTTTTTAGGGCACTGGCTGTATTTGCAGCTTTTAAGGAGGCTCTCGGCGATTTAACTATTCCTGAGATTCGTGGAAAGTGAAAAACTGTTTATATGTAACAGGGGGCTTAACCTCCAAGGATAGATGAGCTCTCGTTAAGACCTCAACCAATTTGAGGACAGCACGTAACCGAAGATTTAACCAGTACTTCAGTAAAAATGCTTAAAGCACTAGGAATAAGTACAACTCTCCTCAAGGACAGTCCAAAAAAACATAAGCAGGTTTGTCCTTCCCTGTTATACGAAAAATGAAAAGTCAAAATGAACATCAGAGAAATGAAACAGCTCACACCAAAATGGAGGTATGTTGATAACTTACGTTATCTAAACAGAAAGACTCCATATTGCTTCCTAAGAAATATTCTCAAGAGGAACTCAACAATGGGAATACATTTATTTAATATTCATTTAATTCAGAAGTGTTTATCATTTTATCATGATAACTGAAGAAAATTGGCTATGCACAAAAATCAGTTTATAACACTTCACCCAAACATCAAATCAGCTTCAGATTCCCATCTATTAAGGCATACACTCTGTACTTCCCACCAATAGGGAATTCTAGCATTAGTGAATATAGTAGAATTATTTTAAAGTAATTCAATGAAGTAGGCTTACCCATGAAGAAAATGCAAAGGACTATTTGAAATGTAGCATTATAAAAAGACCCTACTATCTGGTTTATAAAAACTAGAATAGTTTCCCAAGTAAATATATGTTTTCACCTCATATGAACAAGGTATTGAATTATAAAATTTCTAAATCTTTAACCTTTTAAGTGGGAAAACAATCTTTGATGTTTGCCCAAAACTCTCATAGGCAAATGACATCCTGAATTCTTTAATCCAAACAGTGGAAAGAATTTTTTGTTCTTTCACATGTTTTAAAACAACTCAGACTAAGTTTTAGTAACAGTGTATTTCAACAAATTAAAGGCTCGTCAGCATTAGCAACAATATTTGAGACTGCACAAATTCCTTCTTTTTTAAAGACAGGAGTTAGAACTTAAAAAAAGTTTTAGGAGCTGCAGCACGGCTTGAATAATGTGGAGAATCTTAAACCCAGGCATTTTGGAGACAGAAGTTGGGATGAAGTTGGGAAAAAAATTCTATGCAGTATAGATTAATTTTATCTCCATTCAGAATAGAGAATGGGTACAAACCTGTCTTCTTCGGCCACAAGCCAAAGCATCTCCATGTTTTTCCACATTTTGCAAGTTGTTCAGACCTAGAAGACAGTTAATATATATCCAGACCAACATTAAGGCAGCAGTTTTGCATGAGACAAGAATATACACTATTTTTATATGCTTTGACAGTCTAGGAAAATTTCAATGTCTGTTAATATATGAATATACTTTTTTTTATTTTTTTTTATATATATATAGAGAGAGATATATATACACACACACACACACGAATCTCACCTTAGTCTAAGGACTCAAAAGATAGCCTGTTCAAAAGAGTCAATAGTGCAAAATAGCTCTATGCAATAGAGCTCACAGAAGCATTATATTTTAAACAATTAGGTAAAAATTGGTACATAATAAAACATTGTTTCATTTTGGTAAAAACATTTTTACTATACATACTGCTCTCATTTTACATAGAGAGAACGGAAACTAACCAGCAACCAGAGCTATGGTACTTTGTATACAGGTTTCATCATCTCCACAGAACATGTGTCAGGTTCTAACTGTGGCAAGCATCCAAGGCATCTTAAGAGTTTGTCCCTCCAAGTACAACATGGCCATATGCAGAGGCTATAATGACATCTCCTTGTAGTAAGAAGGTGCTAATGGTTTTCAGAACCTACTTATAGATATTATATAACCTATGTTGTAAATTTTAAAAAAGTAATACCAGGAAAATGCACAAACATCCTAACTTTGTGCATTTTACACTACAATTTTTTTTCAATCAGCCAACCTCTTTAGTTCCTTCCCCCCAAAGCTATCTAGGTCAGAAGTCAGAAAGCAACAAGTTTCAGTACTCCTCTGGCAGCTTTCTTTTGCACAGAATACCATAAATCCCAGTAAAGCAAACAAGCAAACAAAAACCCCAGCGAACCAGAAAATAGTGAATGATTTTGCAAAACGAGTTGCCAGAGAACCTTAAGCCATTTCACAGTTTCCTAAATGTGGCAAGCACCAAATCTGCATTTGGGCAGAAACCACACACAACAATTGGGAGGGTTTTTTTTTTTTCACCATAACCATTTTTATATTAATCCAATCACTGGATAGCAGTTATCAAACCACCAACCCATTTATTGCAGGGGTGGGTGGGGGAGAAAGTGTTTGACATGACTTCATTTTGAAAGTGTAAAAATAAGCTAATACTCACTCTGTAGAACACTGCTCACTCTGTGCTTCTGTCCTGAATGAGGCCTGCAAGGAACACAGAACTGAAATAAAAATACGCAGAACTTCATGAAATGTCTATGAACAAGAGCAACAACAACAACAAAAAATTTTTACCTTACTGTGGGGTTTTTTATGTCTTCAGGTGACTGATTTGTAATACTCTGTTGCTCTTTCATTGATCTTTAAAAAAAAAGCCAAAAAATCATTTTCTAGGCAGCAACTTATCATTTATGTGATTCAACAATATTTGAATGGAAGAAAATCCCAAGATTTCTCTACAGAAACAGCGGCATACAAACACTAACTGCTTTGATCTGTTTAACCCTCTTAACCTTGCCTCCCTATACCTGGAGGAGAAATACACAAGACATTACACATTTAAGTTGAAGACATGAGGAATTTTGCACATCTGTTTTTTCATACCTTCTTCACAATCTAGGAATTGTTTCCATAGGTTTTTTGATCAAATCTTTCATCATCCCTCTCAGATGTAATTGTGTCAGAAGCTGTCCTTCCAAACCAAAAAAAATCTTACAACTTGTCTTCCTGTATACTTTATATGCATCAGTCAATTTCCTTAACTAAACAATGCCAAGTATTCCAAGTATAAAACTGCAGAAATACAAGCTCCATCCCAACTAAAGACTACAATTTATTCTCCATGAAAAACAAGTGGTGATAAACCTAGAATATTAGTATTTTTCAAAATAAAGTCAAAGGAGGGGGGAAAGTACTGGGCTTCAAGTTCCCCCAGCATTTCTTAGAAAAGCATTTTGAGGGTTCACATTGCCAGAATCATGAAGCAACATAACTATTTCCCATCACGCTAGTATCACTAAGTAAAAGAATCTTGTGTTTAGCTATAAGGAAAAAGTAATAGACTAATTCCCTTTCCTTATCCTCTTTCTTCTCAGATGACCTATAGCCTAAAATTAGGAGGCCAGGACTAAAAGGAGCTCAATCAAGCATAAACAAAAAAAGTGAAGTATTTCTATGTTTTTATTGTTATAGAAGACTGACAGCTGTTTAAACTGAAAAATGTGCATCTTCAACAAGTACTTAAACTTAATGCCAAGCTATTTGATGTAAATGCCAAAAGTAACAACCACAGAAAAGCCAAAACTTAAAAACAGAGAATGTACTTGTAGTTAATTTTCTATTGGAATTTAACGGCCTTCCTTCTACCTACTCGTAGTTCTACAAGTTTCAAGTTACTGTCCAAGCATGTCCCTCAGCAGTATAATGCTTAATACAAACCTTTGTTTTGTTTCCAGATTCCTTTTGTCGTTTTCATTGACATTCACAGTTTTGTTTTGCAATGCTGTTGCTCCCAATCCTTTAGACTCTACCTGTTTTGTGGCTGCCTGTTAGAAATTGAATTGATAGTTTAAAATTAAAGCCAGCCAGTACCTAGATAGTAGTTTACACTAAGATTAATACGTGTACTCTCTATTAGCACTGACAGTGCTTATTTCACAGACCCTTCAGAGGTATTACCATTAAAATAAGTAGTTTCAAAACAACTGTAGCATGTTAAGTTGAAATCCACCAAGATCTTTATCAGCTAGTAACTCAAGAGAAATTTTAGTCATAGCCACAAGTGATATTTATATGGACACACAGAAATATAACAAATACTTGCATAATAGTTGCACAATAAGTGAACATACGGATGTGTGAAATACATTGCAGAGGTTAACCAAGACTGCAAATACTTCAGTATCAAAGTACTCCAAAGGCTGTTTTTTATAACTAGATTAGAAATTGAAAACTGACAGGCCTCATAAGTTCATCTAGTTCTGTAGCGCATGGCAGAATCAAGCATACCTATAACACTTTCAGAAGACACATGTCTAATCAGACTTCAGGCTTGTAATGTAACCTTTCCTGTATTAGCAAAAGAATTTTGTAACATCCTGCCTAAACTTTTAGCCACCAACTAAGACTATTTCTCCTGCATTCTCAAGAGGAGTAAGGAGTAGTTCATTACTCTTTATAGAATGTCCAGAGGATCATAGGATTTGTACTTTTCCCTAGATTCCTCCCACTTACTTGCTATAACACCATCTTAAAAAAAAAAAAAAAAAAAAATCACTTAGTCCACATGAGGTCATTCTTGCCACTTTGCTATCAACTTTCTTCTCTAGCATCTTAAGGTATACTTACTGCCTAAACCATAAAAAAAATCCTGTTGTGCACCATCATTACTAAGCACAGCCAACCATCTTTCATCAACACTGTATACATCCCAAAAGGTGATCTGTTTTGCCACACTCAAGTATCAAAATGATTCAGAGTTGACAGATTCACTACAGGCCCAATATTAATTCTTTTTCTGCTTAACCAGTTGCTCCCACTTTTCATCTATTTCTTCTTTCAGGGCTTGCTTTTGCCTCCAGTTCATTTCCTGTCATCCATCCAATTTTCAGTCTTCTTGAAATCTTAACCTGTCCTTCCCAGTAGCTTGCAGAATCTTTCAACATTTATAAGAGTCAGATAATATAAAAATATTCTCTATTTCATTCATTCATCCATGAAAATACTGGAAGGTATTCTGGTCACAGAATACCTCCAATCACAGAAGAAAATGTTTCACTATCAGAAGCTTCATAGCTACCCTAACTACCACATCTTTTAGCTGTAAGTTTTCAAAATACTGTCTCTTTCACAATGGTTGATGGTAGCAAAACACATGTGAAAGTGAGGACATGTTTCCATACAGATAAATGGGTAGAAAGGATTTAGTTTAAAAAAAAAGTTTAAATCCACTATATTGTATTTCAAAAGTTAACAGTAGCTTTCAAATTGTACTTGTCCCTAAAAAGAATTCTTTTGAAAGAGAAATGAAAGTTATAAGGAAAAATTATAAAGTATTCAGATCAATGTGTCCTGGTTTTGGCTGGGATAGAGTTAATTTTCTTCCTAGTAGTTGGTATAGTGCTATGTTCTGGATTTAGGATGAGAATAATGTTGATTACACACTGATGTTTTAGCTGTTGCTAAGCAGTGTTTACTCTAGTCAAGGACTTTTCAGCTTCCCACGCTCTGCCAGGTATACAAGAAGCTGGGAGGGAGTATAGCCAGGACAGCTAACCCAACTGGCCAATGGGGTATTCCATACCATATGAAGTCATGCTTAGCATATAAAGCTGGGGGAAGAAGAAGGAAGGGGGGGGACGTTCGGAGTGATGGCGTTTGTCTTCCCAAGGAACCGTTACACATGATGGAGCCCTGCTTTCCTGGAGATGGCTGAACCTGCTGACGGGAAGCGGTGAACAAATTCCTTGTTTTGCTTTGCTTGCATGCGTGGCTTTTGCTTTACCTATTAAACTTTCTTTATCTCAACCCACGAGTTTTCTCACTTACCCTCTCCTGATTCTCTCCCCCATCTCACTGGGGGGGGACTGTGCAAGCAGCTGTGTGGGGTTTAGTTGCTGGCTGGGGTTAAACCATGACAAATGCTTTCTTGGTATAGGTCCTTTTTCCTTGTAATGCATTATCTGCAGACTGTTCTTAGGGCAGCTAACCTATAAGAGTTTCTTGAAGCACAGAACTTAATCAACAGTAGGAGCTGCAATCTTGTAGATTCCAAGCTTGACAATAACCTAGAACAAACAGCCTACAAAACAGTCTAGCAATGTAGACCGCCTTATGGTGGATGAAAAGCTGGACATGAGCTGACAGTATGTGTTCGCAGCCCAGAAGGCCAACCATATCCTGGGCTGCATCCAAAGAAGTGTGGCCAGCAGGTTGAGGGAGGCGATTCTGCCCCTCTCCTCTGCTCTGGTGAGACCCCACCTGGAGTACTGCGTCCAGCTCTGGAGCCCT